TTCAACAAATTGGTATTGAAACAATGTGCCTTAATACCATAAATGCAATATATAGCAATTCTACAGCTAATATGATACTCCACAGTAAAAATGCTTTTCCTCTAAGATCTGGAACATGACAAGGATGCCCACTCTCAACAATTCTACTCAACATAGTACTGGAAATCCTAGCCAGAGCAATCAGGCAAGAAAAAGAAATTAAAAGGTAGCTAAATCAGAAAAAAATGAAGTAATATTTTCTCTGTTTGCAAATGACATAATCTTATATCTAGAAAACCCTAAAGACTCCACCCAAAAACTGTTAGAACTAAAAAATGATTTCAGTAAAGTTGCAAGATGTAACATCAGCACATAAAAATTAGTTATTTCTATACACTAACAACACAATATTTGAAAAAGAAATTTTAAAAAATCCCATTTTTAATTCCATAAAAATAATAAATATTTAGGAGTAAATTTAACTAAAGAAGTTAAAGATCTAAAGATCACCGAAAACTATAAAATGTTGATAAAAATATTGAAGACAAAAATAAATGGAAAGATATGTTCATGGATTGGAAGAATTAAAATTGTCAAAATGTCCATACTACTTAAGTGATCTACAGAGTCAATGAAATCTCTGCCAAAATTCCAATGACATTTTCCACAGAAACAGAAAGAAATAATTCTAAAATTTGTATGAACCACAAAAGACCCTGAATTGCTAAAGCGATCTTGAGCAAGAAGAATGAAGCTAGAGGAATCACACTTTCTGATTTCAATTTATATTGCAAAGCTAGATTACTCAAAACTGTATGGTACTGGCATAAAAACAGACACATAGCTCAATGGAACAAAAGAGAAAGCTCAGAAGTAAATCCACACATATAAGGTGAATTTATCTTTGACAAGTGTGTCAAGAGCGCATCATTGGGAAAGGACAGTCTCTTCAACAAATGGTGCCAGAAACACTGAAGCTCCATAGCAAAAGAATGAAATTGGATCCTTACCTTACACCATAAGCAAAAATTAACTCAAAATGGATAAAGGCTTAAATGTAAGACCTGAAACTGTAAAACTCCTAGAAGAAAACACAGGAGAAAATCTCTATGGCATTCACCTTGGCAATGATTTTTCGGATATGACAACAAAAGCATAGGCAACAAAAACAAAACTAAGAAAGAGAGACTACACCAACTAAAATGTTTCTTCACAACAAACAATCAACTATATTATTGTGTAATTTCTATGTTCCAGACAATGTTTCACTGGCCAAAGTTTAACTTCATCTACTATTTTGTGTGTTTTCCTTTATAGTAGGAAATATTGAATATTGAATATTGAAGAGAAGTACAATATTGAATAGAAGTAGAGATGGTGGGCATCGTCTCATTTCTGGTATCACTGGAAAAATTCCCCTTATTTCATTATTAAATTTATTCATTATAAATCTTCAAAAATACTCTATCAAATTAAAAAGTTTCTACTATTTGCAGTTTTATTTTATTTCAATTATATTTGCATGTTAAACATTACAGAATTTTTTATCAATACAGTCATATTCTATGTATGTATATATATACACATATATAATTTATAATCTCTATCTATCTACTCTCTGTCCTATCTATCTATCATCAACAAATATGTCAATGGATCTATCCTTTTTATATGCCGTAATTTTGAAATGTAAAATATGTTAAGCCAAGCCACAACTGGATAAAACCTATATTTTCATATCAGAGAATTCAATCTGGCCTTCTTAACCTAAAAAGTCCTTCTCAATGGGATTGCATTTTCTAACTTATCTTCATCAATTTCTGTTTGTCACTGGAGGTCTATTTTCAGGCACATAGAACACTTAAATTTACTCATTTAAGCTATGAACTCTTTCTCTGAGTTTGTGAAGATGCCTGAAACACTCTTCACCTCCTTAGTTATTTCTTATTTTTCAAATTTGAACTTAAATATTACTAATTCTAGGAAGCCTTTCCTGATTCTCCAAGATTCAGTAGGTCACTGCATTCCAATTAATTATTTGTCACACTGTAGTTTTCTTCTTCTTTGTCTGCAATGTTTTCATCTCTCTGCCTTATTTACTCTCACTCTGCTTGGCAAGTGATAGGGGCCAAATAAGTATTTGTTAGATAAATAAATGAATTCTATATTAGAATATAGATGGTCTTTAATCAATATTTAATTAAATCAATAATAAAGGAACCACTATATTTCAAGAAATAAAAAGTCTATTCAGTTTTGTGATCATTTTTATATACAGATAAATTAGAAGACCTTACATAAACCAACTTGAACCCATCATTTATTAATTAAGAAAGGATCTTTGAAAGTCTCGTGTATGTCAGGTATACCTCTCCATTGATATCACCATCACCATCATGGTCATTCCCAACGTAAACTCAGTGCTAGTTCCTGTTAGTCTCTGAAAAGAATAGCAAACAATCTAGGGGTTCAGGATCTAAGACAAATTTATGAACACGCTCACACCTGTAGCAAACAGAGAAGTATGTGTATCACTTGCACATCTGAGGGAAGTACATTTTAAAGACTTGTGCATGTGTGTTGAGTAGGTGAAGTCGAGGAAAAAAGTGGAATTCTGGGAATAATGAGGGCACAGAAAATGAAATTGAAAGTTATCTCTCACTCTCTTGAGCTCAATCTTTGCTACAGCTGAAAAGATTGCAGAAACTCCTGAACTCCTCTCACTAGTGAGTGGTGTCAACTTCATCTCAACAAATAAAGTTCAAATCCTAAAATTTTAAAAAAAAAAGGAGAAATACATTAAGGAAGATAAGTATTTAAGATATATTTAAGTATTACATAAATATTATCTTGGGAGTCCTTAAAAAGCAGATTTCTTTAATAAGAATTAACATTTGGTATGTTTTATAAAGTTGATAGAAATTTGTTTCATAGAGTCATGCTATCATCTAAAGTGAGATGTAAGTTGGCTCCCTTTTTTCACTAAGTCTTCTGCAAAAGAAAAAATGTCTAAAATATATGTGCATGTTCTCATTCAGCTGTTTAATCAAAGGAATATCTTTACGAGGGTTTGGACACTGTATTCTGATAAACTAGGGATAAATTAGCAACCTAATTTTATCCATGGGACACTTATTGCCAAAGCCTTAAGTGCAGTACCTGAATAATAGAGCTACAGGTAATAAAAAAAAAAAAAATCACTGCTGGCATAATGTAAATTCAACTAAGCCTGCTCTGATTCTTTCATTCCTTTCTTTTTTCTGATTCCTCCCTATTCCTCCAACCCTAGAATTTTTTCTTCATATTCTGGATTCTAATCTCTTGTTTATTTCTCTACATTACGTATATGAGAAAAATATCAATTCTTAAAATTTATCAAGTACATATTATGTTTCAAAACAATGTGCTAGGTATTCTGTGCCATTTCCTTACTTAATTCTTACAACAACCCTGTTTAATCATTCTCAATTTATAGAGTTCGAGTTATTGGTTCATGTTCATACAACAAGTACATGAGGAAACCTACTTTTAAATTCAGGTTGTGCATTCCTCAAGCATGAATTATTAAACTGCATGTTGCTCAAGTGAAAGGTTGATAAATGAAAACTTATGATGTTAGTATCACATAATTTCATTGTTTTCTTGAAACACATCCATAACAAAAGCCATAGTACATTCATTCAAATGTATATGATGCATCTTTATTGGTGACTGAAATTTGGCCATTTCTTTTAGTGAGACATGAAGGAAAGTGAGGACTGGGCTTTACTCATCACTGTTCTCTCCACAGTAATTAGCATAATGCTTCACACATGATAGCAGATGCATGAAAAGCTCAGAGGTCTTGAATGATCAATCACTTTCATACTGTATTTGACATTAAGTCCAATCCTAGTTTATAGAATGAAGAAAATAAAACTAAAGAGAGATGAAAGAGAACTAATTTTTTAATACCTTCTATCAGACAAGCATGGAATTGCTTTACATTTATTAATGCTTTAAGTTCTTGCCATGGCCACTGAGGAAGGTTTAAAGGTCCCATGTTATATAAAGAATAACTGACAATAACAGAAGTTGAGCCTGGTCCAAGGCACTTAGCTGGAAAAGGATCCCAATAAAGATTCAAACCAGGACTGAGTGACTCCAAGTTTATGTTTTCTATTCTATCATCAGACTCTTAGAACTCTAAGCCTCCCGTCTCATTTTTCTAAAAATAAATTCATATTCTTTTTATTTTTAGAAATTGTTTATTGCAAATAATTCTTTTTAAACCTCAAAATATATATAGAAGCATTCATAGACTTAAATTCTACACTGTTTCCCTTAGTGTAGGAGAGGTATCAACACTCTGAACATTGTCAAAAAGATAATACAGCATTCATAGTGTTGATCTGAGAAAACCAACATTTGCAATGCATGAAAATAGCATGGTTTGAATTCTTGAAAGTTTCTATTTTCACATGACTCTCTGGAGACCAACTGATAGAACTTTTACACTGGATATAGGCTAAACATGAAATTTCCAACAAGAAGTATCAAGGTTTTTATACTCAGCCACAAAAAAATTAATTGTGATCTAGCACCCCTTGTATTATCCTGGATAGAGCTGGAACCCATTTTACTAAATGAAGTATCACAAGAATGGAAAAAGAAGCACCACATGAACTCACCATCAAATTGGTATTAATTGTGCACATACAGTAGTAACATTCACTGGCCGTTGGGTAGGTGGGAGCGAGGAGGAGGGGATGGGTATATTCACACCTAATGGGCGTGTTGCCCACTGTCTGGGGGATGGACATGCTTGAAGCTCTGACTTGGTGGGGCAAAGGCCATATATGTAACCTAAACATTGTACTCCTGTGATATGCTGAAGTAAATAAAAAAGTATCAAGGTTACCTAAAGTCCTTATTTCTTTTTAGTCAAAGAATCCTACAGAAAGGACAAACATGTTTGTAGAACAGAAGTGCTATCCAGGATGCATTCGTGAATATAATTCCCTGCTGCTGTTTCAGTTTGCTCAGAGTGTTTTGGGAAATGCGTATCTGCTCAGAACCTTTCTCAGAGCCATGTTTACTTCTTTATTTCTCAGTGTGTAGACAAGGGGGTTGAGTAGGGGGGTGATCACAGTATAGGTCACTGCCACAAGCCGGTCCTTATCTGAGGAGTACAGGGATGTGGGCCTCAGGTAGATAAAGGAAGCACAGCCATAATGGACAATGACCACCGTGAGGTGGGAGGCACAGGTGGCAAAGGCTTTACGCTGCCCCTCCGCTGAGGAGATTTTGAGGATGGTGGAAACGATGAAGACATAGGAGATGAAGATCAACACAAAGGGAACCAGCAATACAAGAATGCTGAGAAAGAAGATGACCATCTCCTTCAGGTTGGTGTCTGTGCAGCCCAGTTTTATGACAGGGGAAATGTCACAGAAAAAGTGGTTGATGCGATTAGAGGCACAGAAGGGCACGCTGAACACCAGGATGTTGACAACCACAGAGATCAGGAAACCACAAAAACTGGAGGCCAGAACCAACTGTATACAGGTGGCTTGGCTGACGATGAGTGTGTAGTTAAGAGGGTTGCAGATGGCAATGTAGCGATCATAGCCCATCACAGCAATGAGAAAACAGTTGGTACAAGCCAAGCCCACAAAGAAATAGAGCTGGGCAGCACACCCAGAGAAAGAGATGGTTGGAATTGTGGACAGCAGGTTGGTTAGCATTTTGGGTATGATGACCAGAGTGTAGCATGTTTCAGAGCAGGAAAGGACAAAGAGGAAGAAGTACATAGGGGTGTGCAAAGCCTTTTCCAGGCGAATGACAGTCATGATGGTGGCATTGGCCGTCAGAGTGGTCAGGTAGACTAGCAGGAAGATACAGAAGAGCAGGATTTGCAGATCCCCCAGGTTTGAGAAGCCTATAAGGATGAACTCAGTGACCATGCTCTGGTTCTGCCTCTTCATGGGTTAGTGGGAATCAGATTTAGACAACCTGAAATTGAGAAGAGAGTATTTGATAAAAGTGAAATTATCCCAGAGAAACCAGATTTGTGTTTCTGTACAAAGCTGATAATACTGGTCTGAAAAAATGACTGACCGACAAGTTAAGCACACAGATTGAGGATGCGGAAAAAAATCAGGAGATGTGAGCAGTGACACAAATAATGACCCAATTTAAAGATATCTGTGCAATATGTGTTATTTCTCTGAGGCAAACCAAAGGTAATTTTCTCAAGGTTCTTGCTGCCGCCTTTAGCAGCCTTTGATGGATCTTTTATACATTTGGATTAGATGAAAATAAACCAGATTGCAAATCCTTTTTTAAAAATCTTAAACCATGTACCAAGTTTTGGGTCCAAATTATGTAGGATAAGTTAAACTTAAATTGCATTTTATTAACCAATATGAGTGTATTTCTGTAAGCATAGTTAGGTTGAAATAAAGTTCTAAAATAATAAAACAAAATAATAAAGATATTTGAAGAAATTTATCTTTATTTTTGGAAGGTGTTTCTATTTTTCATATTCATATGTGCATAGGAGGTTCATACTGTTAAATTAAAAAGTAATTTAGAGCTCAGCCGATCTAATACTGCCAATTTACAGAAGAAGAAATTGATACTCAAAAAGATTAAATTATTTGCTTTACCTACATGAGACTGAAAGTCCTTAGAAACGACTTATATTCAATATCATCTTATAAAAACCTTATTCAGAAAAACAAACACAAATAAAATTAACCTATCCACTCCCTCACACACAAGACTCAAATACTGCTTGTTTAGATGTAATAAAGTATTTTTATTTATTTAAAAGTATTCATATTCCACTTATCCATGCTCAATTGTGAAACCTTTGGGATGGCTCACATATTGGGGTTTCCCCAACCATGAGTGCATCAAATTACCCTCAGAGCATTATGAGTTGTGGGCTGAGACCTCCACCCTCTGGCTCTGCCTCAATCTCCATTGCTCTGTGATGTTCTCAGAACAATTCTCACCATTATCTGTGAGATCTGTGGTTTAATTTGGAGATCACATAATGCATAAAACTTCGCACTAGACTTAACAATCAGACTATCTTTGTGTTGGAAAAAAAGATCATAAATCTTCTAATTCAATCCATGCCGAATTCTCTGAGAGTCTTTAAAATAATCTAGGAAATATTGTCCAATCTCCAAGTTATAAGGAGCTTGCTGTCTTCCAAAACAGACTGATCTCTCGCTAGATAGCTTACTTGGCTAAAACTTTCTTATTATGAGATAAACTATGCCTCATTGAAATATGTACCCATTGTTCTTGGTTTGTCCTCTGCAGGTTCTCAAAGAAGTTTAAATTCTTTCTATAAATGATAGCCTTTTAGTTATTGGAATAAGATGTTCATATCCCTTTATGAGTTTTCTTTTCATCCTGACTAACATTTTTAGATCTTTCAGTATGTCTCATGGAATTGCTTCTAGAATTTTTCCTGTCCTAATCGCAATCTCAGGTGGTTTAGTCCTGATCCTTGGGTCATACATATATGCCCCTCAGCTGCAGACAAGCTGGCTGGCTTCAGCCGCCACACATAGCTAGGTTCTACCCATAATTTTACACTTCCTTTCCTACTGCTCTTTATCCCTCACAATTAATATTTATCTCTGCTCATTATTTATCTCACGAGAGACTTCCTTGAGTAGCTCTAAATGGCTTTGAATACAGTTTGAATTTACTTCTCTGTCAGTTGGCTTTGAGATCATTTGTTAGAATGGCAGCCTAGAGAGGTCGGAAGGGTGCAGGCTCTGGGGTCAGATGGCCTAGGTTGGGCCCACAGCTCTGCCACTTTATGATCTTGGGGCAATCACTTTGTGTCTCATGTTTTCATCTCTGAAATGGTAATAATAATAGTATAAACTAAAAATTTTTTCGTGAGTACCAAATGCCCACAATAAAGTTCCTGACTCACAGTAAGTGTTCAGTAAATGTAGGCTGTTGGTATCTAGGCCAACCACCATCATGTTACAAATGAAGAAACTGAGGCCAAGAGAAGTAAAATGTAATGATCCAGGTTGCATAAACTATGAGTTAGGAACTGTATCCCAAATGTACTAAACTTCCCCATCCAAGGCTTTGTCTTCTCAATTATCTGAGTCCTATTTTTAATATTTGCTTTGCACTGTGTGCTTATACACCAGTGACTTGGGAGACAGGTCAACATCTTCTTTCCTCTATATGATCTTCATGCTGGCTTTCTGTTTCACCCTTCCACCTACTCCTGTCTCATATTCTTCCACCTTTTAATCCATCATACATTTTTCCTTCTGCTAAGGTATATATCAGTACACAGCAGGCAGGTTTTTCCCCCCATTCTTTTTCTTCTTTCTTGTTTCTCTTCCTAAAGGTCTACTTTAGGAAGATTTTGATGTTTTAGACTTTTCAAATTCTTCTCTAACTTAACTCTTTTTCCCATATTCCCATGGTGGTTTTGTTCAGCTGAATCTTTACCCTCCCCATATGATTTCTGTCCTGTCTTTCACTCTAGATCCTGGTGCTGTGACACACTTCATATATGCAAGGTTTCCACCAGTTCTTCTGCCTCTATATCTCTCTTTGGTACACAAAAGTATTTTTAGAAAAAATTGACAGATGATATTACTCAAAAGAAAGGGTGGTCCTACAACTGTAGTTCAAAGGAGACACTTACATCCACAGGTAGAGCTTTAGCACAATCCCAAGTTCCTTTCTTCTGTACCCATCAAAGTCTAAAGAGGTAAGGGAAATAGGCAAAGTTTTGAAAAATGTCAGGTAGTATTTTTCTCCCAGATATTATTAGGGAAAATCCAGGGGCCATAAATTTTTAAAGATGAAAGATAGCTCTGCCTGGTTTCTGGGCTGGAAATAACTGGATAATCCCAATCTTAGCAGCTCTCTGCCCCTGATGGCATATGCCTCAGCAAAATCCCTGGGTTTTATATAGTTGGTACACCCCAGGGGATTGAGGCTTTGGAGAGAGTTTCTTTGGATTCTAAACCTTTAAAATGTATATTCAGTCCTAAAGAAAGAAAAAAAAATGAATCACATAAATTACCTGGTTAATTTGATCTGTTTAGAAAGAAGATGGATAGCTTTGGATGCTATGATTTTTTTGCATAGGTCATTCATTTTGGATCAAGGTTAAATTTATCGAATGAAGTATTGAACTATTATTCTCTTAATCATTACCTTTATAGATTCTAGACATAGACTGTCTTGAAGGATTAATTAAATGGCATCTTTGAAAAATTTTATATAGTTTTCTATTTTTCCTACAGTTTGCTAGTCGATTTTGAGATAATTTTTTCTGTAACTCTCTGGCTCTATGCATGTAAGTTATGCCTGCATCCTTAGGGGGCACAAACTCTAACCTTTCCTATATTCCTCTACCTGCTTGATTTAGCTCTTCAAATGCATTCATCAATGTAGACTTTCATCTGCATATCCATCAATTCATTAACTTAATCCATATGCATTGAGTACCTATAATACTCGAGGCACTCTGGCGAATGTTTTGGTGGGGAAGGTGGCACAAAGATGACAATGTCATAGTCTGTGCCAATAGTGGTTTATGGATCATATATACCTGGCCTCCTGAGGTGCATGTGAAGATGCATATTATTGCATCCTATTCCAGGATCTCCTAAATAAGAAATATGTCAGGTGAGGCCTGGAATATTCTACAATCACTTCACATGATTTCTTTTACTCTCAGCAAGTTTAAAACTACTGGCATCTTTCTGAAAAGAGTTTGATGTTTAGAGTTAGAGATGGAGAAACAAATGAATTATTACAACAGGCAAACGGGTCTAAGCTAGGGGCAAGCATGAGGCACTATAGCATTACTGAGAGGAAGCACAGTTCTCACATTTGGTATCAGGATTGGTAGGTCTCAGATTCCTCAAACTCCTGCTACACCTCTCCCATCTAATAATCTTTCTTTTTCTGAAGGATTCAGGATTTTTTTTTCTATTAGAAGAAAAAAAATAATAGGTTTCTTGGTTTTAATTTTTAATTCTGAGAAACATAAGGTTCTTAACTGGTATATGTTTGATAAGGACTAATACTAATAATTTTTCATAGCATACTCGAATCTCAGTATTTCAGTGTTATTCTAATTACTGAGATATTTAGAAGTAAGAATTATTTAAATTGTTGGGTCATTTCAGAGGACAAAGGGCTGAAAGACTGCAGCAACATGTCTTTCTTTCTACCCATTTTTTTTATTGACTCTAATATTAATAGCAGCTTTCTAAACACTTACTACACTGACATTATTATTCATTCATTAGCTCATATAGTCTCTCTGATAAGCTTATCAGGTCAGACAATATTATTCCCATTTTTCAGAAGAAGTCAAGGAGAGCACAGTAAGCCCCTTGAGCTGAGGATAGTGAAACTGGAGTTTGACAAGGCTGAAGCAACTATAATTTGTAGAGCAAAATACCAGAGAAGAGGGTAAATTTAGAGAAAGAGTCCCAGAAATATCCATATGGATACTTTTACACAGTGAGCTGAATACTAAGATGTTTCAGCATAAGGTGAAACTCTCTAAGACTAGACAAAAGACTACCAGGAGGATCTTAGCTACACAATTCCTAGAACTCATACAGGGTTTGGAGATGTCTGAGTTCCAACTGGCAGGGATGGAAAAACACCATAGAACAACTGGGAGAATCAGTATGGATCTCAAAAAGTCACACCTTAGTAATAAGGATAAACTAGTTTCCAGCAAAGGTCACACTTGAATTGCCTTAACAAAATTTAAATGCAAGTCTCAACTTATAAATACTATGTGATCTGTTGATTTTCAACAAAGGTGCAAAGCAAGTTAATGAGAAAAGTATTTTCAATGAATGATACCACCACTGCAATTTTATCACCACTGCTCTCCAGGCTTCTTTGCTGTTGGCATAAACAAGATGGCAAAACTTTGTCAATAGCTTAGGGACAT